GGATTGGTAAGTGTTTAGCACAGGGCCTGGCACACAGTAAATCCCCAATATATTATCAATCGTGAAAGTGTGCCCCATCTTGAAGCCCAGGGAGAGGTAGTATTGAGAAGCTCAGATGATAACATTCTGGAAAAAAAAGAAAAAGAAAATCACATTCACAGCTCACTTACAGAGCACTCAGAGTGTGCCAGGCTCTAGGAAGGCCTTTCTTAACATGATCTCATTGAATCTTCATGACAACTCTATGAGGCAGATGCTGTTATGTTGCCCATTTCACAGGTAAGGAAACAGAGGCACAGAGAGGTGAAGCAACCTGTGTAAGGTCACACAGCAAACAAAGAGCAGAGCCAGGCTGCCACTTCGATCTGGCTGATCCCAATGCCACAGATTTTCCCAGTGACAAAGTGCCCTGACATTTACCTCTGGATCTGTGTAGATTTCTGGGTCCTTCTGGGGACTCAGGAAGGGGAAGAGGAGGAGGCGGTCACCACGTCGTAGGGAGAATTCCCGCCCATCTGCCATGGGTATGGCCAGGTCCACCATGACCTCACGTGTGATGAATGGTGCAGCCGTGAGCCGGAGGCTCTCACTCAGCACGCTGTCTGCATGGGTGCAGGTGCAAGGAAGGGTCAGTAGGCTGTCCACTCACTTCTTCAAATGCCACTCCCAACCTTCATTTTACAGAGGAAGGTATAGAGGCTCTGAGAGGGTGTGTGACTTGCCCATGGTCACACACCAAAGTTGAAAAAGGCCAAACGATGAGATGTGATCACTATGGCCCCTCAGAGACCTTGGACATAAGAGGATTCCAGTTCTGATCCCAAGAGAAGTTGTAAGGGAAGGTAGGAGCCAGGGAGATATCAGAGAGGCTTAGAAGAGTGTGGGGCCATCAATGTTGGTTGTTTCCACTTGTCCACCATACATTCCCTTGCTCTGGAAACCGACCCCTGGTTTTCCTCTGGGGACCACCCCTGCCCCCACTCAGGGGTTTGACTGCTGTTAATTCAACTCCCAGCTGAGCTGTGATTGGCCAATCAGAGACTGGTTCAAGATGGGGACAGAATCCAAACAGAGTCAGTGAGACACAACCCTGGGACTTTTGGTAGGAATGCTGCAAGAGCCGCAAGAAAAACAAACCCTCACAGAGCTGAAAGCATGTCAGCCTGGAGCTACTGGCAGCCATCTTGGCAGCCTAACAGCTGGAGCCAGTACAGTGGAAAATGAGGCTGAGAGATGGAGAGAGACTGAGTCCTGATGACATTGTTGAAGCATTTGGATGCACCTGTGCCTGGAGTCAGATATCACTGGACTTTTTGTACATGCCCCAAATAAAGTCCCTTGTCTACTTAAGCCAGTTGAAGTTAGGTTTTCTGTCACTTGGAACCAAAATGTCCCACTGAAACCATGAGTCTCGGGCAGCTGAGACCAGGGCATGGAGATATCAGTTCTAAGACGATCGGAGGCCCAGGGAGGCCCTAGGTCAGAGAGCACGGATGGACCCTGGAGGATGGGAGCCATGTTGGGGAGGGCTTTGGGGGCCAGGCCATGAGGACTCAGTCTCTGGGGCTACCTTGGAGGGTCTGGCCATCTCACCGAGCACAGGCATGCTGTCTAAAACCTTCTGTGGGAGGGTGGTCATCTGTGAGACAGGCTGTTCCACCTGCAAGAGGGTATGCTCGAGCTCTCCACGGACGGCGGTCAGGGCCTCAGGATGCTTGAGGAGGAAGAGAAGGAGCCAGAAGGTGGTGGGACCCACATTCCCCTGCAATGAGAAGGAACCCCTCTTACACCAAGAAGTCAGCCCTTGAGTGTGAGCCACCTGGTCTACGTCGTGGACATAGTCTTGGCCGAGGCACAGGGGCCAGGAGGCCTGAGTTTCCACACCGGCCAAACATCTAGTGATGACCAATGTCTACCCTCAGCCTCAGGACACGGCCAAAATCGGCTTTGTGTCCTTGGCCTAGCCCAATGATCTGGAGCAAAATCACTGATTCTGAGGTCACACAGGTAATCTTCATATTGACTCAGCAAAAAAGAAAACGTCTATAACAGGAATAAGGCATGACAATGAAGATTATTATTTTCTTTGGTATTTTTAGACAAATGCATGTATTATTCCATTCAAAAAAATTTTAATGTTTAACAGAAATGAAAAATCTGCTTAGAAATAAAACAAAGAAGACAGACAAAGGCATTTTTGGTGGCTTTCCGGATAATGTAGACTACTTTTTAAAGTTTTGGAATATTTAAATTTTCTATAATGAATATATATATTTAAATTCTATATCTTTATTAATAAAATAAAGGAGCCCTGGTGGCGTAGTGGTTAAGAGCTATGGCTGCTAACCAAAAGGTCAGCAGTTCGAATCTACCAGTCGCTCCTTGGAAACTGATGGGGCAGTTCTACTCTGTCCTGTAGGGTCGCTATGAGTCAGAATCAACTTTACGGCGATGGGTAATGGGTTTATTAATAAAAAAGTATGAATGGAGGAAAAGATTACTGTTAATATGTAAGGATGACTGTCTCCTTGGCCCCAATTCTTCACCTTTCTATGTATCCATGCCCCTTACCACGTGACTTTGCAGTTCCTCCCATTAAAGAGGCACAGTGGATTTCGCCCATCCCTCGACTGTGGTCTCAGTCATGTGGCTTGCTTTAGCCAACAGAATGAGATGGGGTTGATACACTGGCAATTCTAAGCTGAGGCTTTAAAAGACCTTGTGTGTTTCCACTGTGCACTTCTGTCATTATCATGGGAAAGACATGCCCAGCCAGCCCACTGGCCCCAAGGGGACGATGAGAGACACAGAGAGCACAGCTGAGCAGCCCAGCCGAGCTCAGTCTAGATCAGCTGATTCCCAACCGCCCCACAAATGTGGGAGCTAAGTGAATGCTAAGTGGTGTAGCGCTGATTTTCTTTGGTAGTTGTTACACAATAGCTAATTGCTACAATACCTACATGTTTGCTTTCAAATATAGTTAATCATTCTCAAGATAGTTTTGGATGCGAAATTCCCTCACATGCTTTATATGCTGAAATTCTACCAGTCATTTGAAGAATAAGTTGCGTGCGTGAACGTGTGTGTCCGTACAAAGCAAAACACAGCAATAATCAATGATGACTGTGAAAGCTGTTTATTTCCTGAACAAAAATTATTCAAAACTTTTCAATAGTGAAATAATTAGGAGAAAATGGATGGAATTTCTTTCTCCAAGGCTTCAGCCTTAGCTGAACATGAACACTCAGCATCTAGCTAAAATGTGTATGTGGTGCCCTTGAATGAGCTCCAGACATGGGTGGGATCTTAGTGTCCTCTGCTGTTGTTAGTTGCCATTGAAGCAAGTGTCCTAAAGCCGCCATAACAAAATACCAGAAAATGAGTGGCTTTAAAGAACAGAAATTTTCTCACAGTTCTGGAGGCTGCAAGTCCAAATGCAGGGCTATACTCTCTGTTGGTCAATCTAGGAAATGATCCTTTCTGTCTCCTTCAGCTTCTGTAGCCCTGGGCATGTCCTGGCATTCTTTGGTTTATAGACGGATGGATGCGCACATGGTGTCTTTCATGTGTGTGCAACTCTCTCTCTCCATGTCTGTTCTTCCCTTTTATAAGACACCACTCAGAAGGAATTAGGAGTAGGACCCACCCTACTCCAGTATGACTTAACTGATAACGTCTGCAAAGAAAGACCCTACTTCCCCAAACAAGGTCACATTCACTGCTACAGGTGTTAGGACTTCAACATATCTTTTGGGTGGGACATAATTCAATCTGTAACAGGTAGAATACCAACTAACCTCAGTTTGAGGAAAAATTTTTGTCTACCGTAACAACTAACCCTATCCACTTATAATAGTGGAATACTAAACTGCCATTAAATATCATGCTTACCCAGTGATTCCATTACATACTCTCAGGTGGGTAAAAGGATGTACGCACAAAGATGTTTATTGCAGTGCTGACGGAATAGCAAAAGACTGGAAACAACCTCAATGTCTATCAATAGGCTAATCAATAAAATTGATGATGATTCTTCCATAAGATAATGAATGATACAGCAGTCGTTAAAAAGAAGCCAGCTGCGGGAAAATTGGCATAACTAAGGGTAATGGTTACACAGCTTGGCTACTCTAACTGATATCAGTAAGCCGCACAACAGTAAAAAAAAAAAAAAAAAAAAAAGGGGGGAGCGCAAAATGACAAATAGCATGTTACATTTAATTTTACAACAAAAACAGCAGGAAAAAAATGCTGCTGCTGTTGATCACTGCTTAGGTACAAATAAACACTTCATGGGATTAGTTTTCTTGGTTCAAAGGTTAAGGGTCATAGTTTCACGGGCCTGTCCAGTCAATCGGCCTAATACTGTTTTAAGAGCTTCTGTTTTACCTCCTAGTTTAGCAAGCGGCGCCTGGGGTCTTAAAAGCTTGCGGCCATCCAAGAGCCAACAATTGGTCTCTATTCACCTGGAGCAACAGAGGAAGAAGAGACTAGGAATCCGAGAAGTAAAGGGTCTGCAGGTCTAATTGCTCTTGGGTTTTAGAAGAAATGGGGGAGGGGACTCAGGTCCTCGCTGAGATTTCCTCCAGTACCTCAGGCCCAGCCAAGACGGCAAGGTCAATCGCTGTCCATCACGTAAACAGCCAAGGGGACATGGGCAATAAATAATTCAGTGCTGGCTTAACTCAGCACCAAGCCACTTTGTCTTGCCCAGATGGTCAGTCAGGGGCCACTACTCATTAACTGCAAAGCTAGAGCAGAACCCACAAGCGCCCAGTTAGCTCTGCTTTCGGGACAAAGCTGTGGCCAGTTAAGGAAGTGACCAAGATTGCTTTCTACCCACTGCACAGATGTGTGTGTGAGTGTGCATGTATGTGCACACATACATGTGTGAGATCACACATCCATCTAAGATTTGAATTAGCTGTCCTGGAAACTGATTTTTCTCCTGCGGGGCCTTGCCTCAGTTTACCAGGACATTTCCGGTCTAACCTCCTTCTCTCCCACTGCAGCCCAAATCCATCCTCTCTTCTACTGTAATGATAGTAGATGACCTCCAGGAGGCGCTCACTATGTGCTAGACTCAACAAGTACCGGCACCATCTTGTTGCCTCCTCACTGCACTGAGGCTGCCCAGTCAGTCAGTGGGGATGCGGGACACCTGCAGCTTCACCTGCCCCACATCCATTCCCTCTCCTTTGGGTAACAACATCCCATTTTCCTTCAGAGAACCATTTCCACTTAGTTCACAGTCCATGTAGATCATATGGGGGCTGACCCAGCCCCTCATGTGGACATGTGACTCAGCCCTGGCTATTCAGTCAGTGATCCACTCAGAGGGGACACTTGCCCCAAGACTGGCTTATCAGTCCCAGTGATCCACTCAGCATTTGACAGGGCTGGTCACTCCCACCTCCCCAAATGCTTTCAGATGTGGGCCTCTGAGGCGTCGCCTCTCCCAGTCCTCCGCTGCCCAGCTGAGCGGCTCAGTCTCCTTTGCCGGCTCCTCCTCATCTTCCTGACCCTAATAACTGGACAGCCTCAGGCCCAGCGCTTGGTTCCCTTCTCCATTCACACTGTCCCCAGGGATCTCTTCCAGTCCAGTGACTTTAAACATAGTCTCTACACCGACAACTCCCATAGGCCCGTCCCCAGCTGGACCTAACCCTGAACTCCAGGCTTTTATCTCCAGGGGCCCTGCCCCCCTCCACATCCCCTCTCAAACTCAGCACACCCAAACCAAACTCCCAACCTTCTCCCCAAAACCTGCTCCTTCTGCAGTTTTCCTCTTCTCTGCCAATGGCAACTTCATCCTTCCCCTTGCTCAAGTCAAAATCTTGGAGTCCTCCTTGATGAGACCCTCTCCGAACGCCCCATCCAACAGCAGATACTGTTGGCTCTACCTTGAAATATGTTCAGAATCCAACCACCTCTTCCCCCTCCAGCCACCATCCTCTCTCGCCTGCTTGTTGCAGCGGCCTCTCTCTGGTCTCCCTGCCTCCAGTCTCCCCCACTACAGTCTATGCTCAGCACTGGAGCCGAAATACCCCTCTAAAGCATAAGGCAGGCCATGTTTCTCCTCTGCTCAGAATAAAAGCCAAAGTCCTCGCCACCGCCTACAGGGCCCATCAGCCTCATCCCCACCCCAGGTCCTTTGCACTTGCTGTTCCCTCTGCCTGAACGTCCTCATTCTATATAGCTATATGGCTGGCTCCCTCACTTCTTGCAAGTCTCTGCTCAGAGGTCACCTTCTCAATGGGGTCCTCCGTGACCGCCCTATTTAAGGTGCTCCCTCCCCTCCACTATTCCCTTTCCCTGCTTTATTTTTCCCCCAGAGAACTTATTGCCACTGGTATACTGTATATGCTCACTGGTATATTTGCCAGTGTCTGTCTTCTCCCACCGGAATGTCAGCTCCATAAGGACAAGGGTTTTTGTCTGTTCTGTTCCCTGCTCTATCACAGCTTCCAGAATGTGCCTGGCACACAGCAGGTTGTTGAATATGTTTATTGAGCACGGTGACAGGCGTTTTGCATGTATCATTTCCTTTTATCGTCACAACAACCCCTTGAGGAAACTGCTACCATCTCCATTTTACAGATGAGGACATTGAGGCCCAGAGAGGCTAAGTAACTTGCCAGGAAGTGGCAGTCAGGATACAAATCCAGGCAGGCTGGTCATAGAGCCTGTGCCCGAAACCACTAACCTACACAGCCTATTGGCCCTGCTCTCAAGACCTGGGCTCTTGAAGGGGCTTCCCACCTGCCTGAATTCGGACGCTGCCAATGATTCAACCTCAGAAGACGCCCTATGCCTGACTTCTGCCCAGTTCTCCTGGCCCCACCAAAGGCTGTTCCCTGGATTTTCTGCCACTCAAGCCTCCAGGCCCGCGTCCAGTTCTGCTGATGGAAAACGTTTCCACAAGGGGTTCTGGGGACACTCTGAAGCTCCAAGTCATCTCTGCCCATAAATATGTTATAGACACTAATGCGGGGGGGCAGCTGCTGATTAAACACAGCCCCTGCCCCTCACCAGCCTCTGCTGCAGGGACAGTGAATGGCTCTAAGAGAAAACTAAAAATAAGTCGTGAGTCGATGGGAGAGGAACTACCCAGAAAGTCAGCCTGTGCAACTGTCACTGCTGAGGTGGGGCCAAGAGAAGGAGGGAACTTGGGGTCAGGGGCGAGAGCAGGGTCAGCCCTGCAACTTGCAGCATCCTTGGCACCTCCTTCCTCGCACCCTGGTATCTGGTCCATTACCAAACCCACTGGCTCTGCCCTCCCAGTGCATCCAGAATCTGTCCACTTCTCACAACTCCCCTGGCCTCTGCCTGGTCCTGCCACCACCATCACCACATGGACCACAGCAGGGGCCTCCCCACTGGTGTCCCTATTTCTGCCCTCGCTCCCCTGTAGCAACCAGGGAGATTCCGTGAGAACCAAAGTCAGAGTCGGTCCTTCTTCTGCTCCTGACACTCTCAGGGCTGCCACTTCCCCAGAGAAAAAGACCAAGTCCTTACTTGAACCCACAAAACCCCCCGTGGTCTCCTCCCTCAGTCACACTCCCCCTCAATCACTCTGCTTCAGCTACAACTGACTCCTGTTTCCTAAACTCCTGGCATGACTGACCCCAGAACCTTTGCATGTGCCGCTTCCCCTGCCTGGAATGCTCTATCCCCAACTCTTCCCCAAATCCCTGCATCTAGCTTTCTATCATCCAGGGCTCAGCTCCAATGTACCCTCCTCCAGGAGGCCTCCCTCACTACCCTGGCTCAAGTGGACCCCAGGGTCTCTCTACCCATGCCCCTGTTTTATATCCTGCATATTTGCATCTAAAAAAACCCTGTATGTTCCCTTGACCATCTGCCCCATTCTCAACTAAAATGTAAACAACACTGGCGCAGGGTCTTTGTGCTCTATGGAAAGTACTCAATGGAACTTTTAAATGATTCTACAAAATAACCAGTCTGTCCACTCCAAAAATGCCAAGGTCATGAAAAACAAAGAAAGGCACGGAAACTTCCAGATAAAAGAAAATTAAGGAGGCGGGATGACTAAAGGCAACGTGTGAGCCTGGACTGGATCCTGAACCAGGATAAGCCAGAAAGGACATGATTGGGACAACTGGAAAAAGCGGAACATGGACCGGCTATTAGATAATGACCATGTATCCGGGTGAAATGTCCTGAATCTGAGCACTGTAGTGCAGTCATGTAAGAGAATGGTCTAGCTCCTAGGAGGTTCATGCTGCAGTAATTAAGGCCAAAGAGTCAAAATGTCTATAACATACTCCAATGGTTCAACAAAATAATCACAGTAAGAGAAAGAGAGAGAGATACAGTAAATACGGTAAAATGTTAACAGCTGGGGAAAAAAGGGACGTGTAAGAAGTTCATGAAATCAAACCTGCTCCTCACTTCTCAACTATCTTGTTATCCGATATTTCAAATTTATGACAATTGTAAAAAATCGACAGACTATTTTGCACATTCATGACGTACGTGTGGTAGTAACAAACACTGAGGTATGAGGCGAGAGTAACACTGGCTGGGATGGTTAAGGTCACGTGTCCACATGGCTGGGCCATGATTCTCAGTGGTTCGACAGCAGTGTGATGATGTAATCTGGCAGTTATGTAATGATGTAGTCATCCTCCCTTTTGTGATCTGATGCGGTCATCCTCCATGTTTGCATAATGCCAGTTTTTGCACAATGACATCATCTTTGGAAACGAACCATGTCAATAAGTGAGGAGGGGGTGTATTCACTCAAATTTTCTATACCTTTGACATTTTTCCAAATTAAATTTTTTAGAAATTTTATTAAAGGAATGATTCTGTCTATGATGCTATTTGACAGTTAAGAAGTTAGGGAGCTGCGTGTGTACATACATACCCACACCTGCACACACTTACAAATGCATACTACATGCATGTACAAACACACGAAGGCATGAATACGCATACACACATGCCTATCTGCATACTTGTGCACACGCACGCATCCATGTGCACTCATGACACAAACCTGCACACACACACACATACACACAAATGCATACCTACATGCATGCACACACATAAATGCATACACACCCACACTCGCATGCATACCTGCATACACATGTACACGCACACATCCATGTGCACTCAATGCAAACCTGCATGCACACACACACACACAAACCCATATGCATATCCACACACATGTACAGTCACACACAGATATATTTGCACACACATCCACATGCTCTTGCTCATCCACACCTGCACACACCCACTCACACACCCATGCCCACCTGTGTGGCCCAGAGCTGCAGCACCAGGGCCCGTGCCTGCATCTCCTCTGACACACCCATCTCCTCCAGGTGCAGCAGGTAACTTTCCAGCCAGGCGCTCCGGTGGGCCCGGGTGGCCAGTCTCGTAGGGGAAAGCAGCTTCCATAGGCGACCTTTGACCTTGCTCACACGGTCCTTATCCCCTGCAAGGACAGAACACAGAGGGTAGGGGAGTGCAGAACCACCCTCAGCCCAGGGCCACCCTGCCCTGGCCCCCATGAAGCCAAGAGTCTTCTGGGTGTCACTCCATGGTGGGGGGGGGTGCTCCCGTGGACAGGAAGCCGCAGGGACAGGCCCCGCCTTCCAGGGGGGCCCCAGTGGGGAGCACTTTCAACATGGACTTGCTTATTGTCCATCTCATTCCCACTGGGAAGGGATTGGGGCCTTGTCTCCTGGGGAGCCAGGAGCCTTGTCTGTTTTATTCACCTCCGTGTCCTCAGCACCTGGTCCATAGTAGGTGCTCGATAGACATTTGCCAAATAAATGGTGTTTCTTTACATAGCAGGGGAAGGAACACTAAACACTGAGCAGCATTCCTCCTTGCTAGCGTCTGGTCCCAGAGCCAACGCCAGCCCACGTGCACACGGAGACCCACAGGGGTAGACTTGACAAGACGTCAGAAACAACCTACCCGGCCATCGCAGGCACGGGGTGATCTGGGATCTCAAACTCAAACACCTCCAGGGAAGGCAAATGAAGTCAGCGAGAGAGGAGGACCAGGAAGAGGCAACTCAGCTCTCCTGACAAGTTCCCCTCCCCGGGCACAACAGAGAAACCTGGCCCAGCACAGCCTGAGGGCCTGGGCTTTGAAAAGAAGCTGGAATCTTCTGAAGTTTTTTAATGTTAGCATCTACTTAAGAAATTTTAAGCACTCTGTAGGCCACAAAACCATCTCCACAGATCAACGTTGGCCCATGGATCACCAGTTCACAATCACCATTAAATGAATTATGGTTTGCATATGCTCTGGAAATCCAGGCGGCAGTGAGAAAAATGAGGAGGCTCTTTATGGGCAGACATAGACAGCCCACAGGGGCAGAATGCTAAGGGAATAAGGCAAAAGACTGAAGACTGTGTGCAGAAGAATACCATTTAACATTGTTTTAAAGCTACAAGACAATGGTATATGTATGTATATATATGTGTGTTCAAGTCCAACCGGTGGTGCCTCAGAAGAAAGGCCTGGCAATTTACTGCCAGAAAAAAAAAAAGTCAGCCATTGAAAAACCCTATGGAGCAGTTCTACTCTAACACACTTGGGGTTGTCATGAGTCAAAGTCGACTCAGTGGCAACTGGTTTTATTATATATTGTTAGGAAAAAGCAAAATGCCCACAATTAGTGTTTGGAAGGCATTTGTGGGAAAAAGAGAAAAATAAGAATATAGTCACATTCACTTGCATTTGTATAAAGGAACTCTAGAAGGATCCACATGAAACTAATAAATTGTAGGGGGTGGGAAATGGGTGGACGGGGGTGTCGAGAAAGGGAAGGAGACTTTTCACTGTTTCTATTTTGTATTTTTAATGTTTCAACTGACCCCAGTATAATGATTCAATGCTATGAATCAGAACTGCCAGTCCGAGTGACTGGTGATGCTGCCGGGGCAGGAGAAGCAGGTTCAAATCCCAGACCTTCCATACTCTAGGACTTTGGCCAAAGCCTTGTCCATCTCTGAGCCTCAGTACCCCCATCTGTAAAATAAGGGTGCCAGGCTTCAGTACCTCTCAAGTTTTTCCTTGGAAACCCCTCCAGCCCCCTGGAGATCCGGGGGGCACAGTCCAGAGAGGTCCTCAGTGGGGACATGTCTTTAAAGTCTTGTGTTTTACCCTTAAATCCATTAGACTTTTGCATTAGACTCTGTGATTCTTAAATAGAAGAATTTTTTTTCAAAAAAAGTAATATTCAAGTAAAATAGCCCCCCAAATAAGCCAGTAAAATAAGTTTTCCAGAAGGAAGCACTATGATTAGCTCGGGGCTCCACTTAACTGGGCAACACTCCAACACCCTCCTGTAGGACAAGCACGAGACTCGATGGTCTACGGGTCCCCAGAAGGTCAACCTTCTTTTACAACAGGTATATATCTGAACGTGTAGAAGAGGAGTAACACATGCACACGGTAAAAAATTATAATAATAAAAAGCAAAAGAACTATATGGGATCAAAATGACAACGGCAACTTGAAAGGTTAGCAATGCTCAGGAGGCAAGGTTAACGGGGGAGGAACAACTTGGAAAAGGAGGGGGAGAATGGCGGCACAACTTGAAGAACGTCATCAACGTCACGGAATAGTACAGACAGAAATTGTTGAGTTGGTGTATGCTCTGCTGTGTATGTTTTCAACAACAATAATAAATTATTAAAAAGAAAAAAAAAAAGAAACTCGAAGAGTTCAAATGGGTATACAGTCATGTGTAGCTTAAGTCCATGACACATTCTGTGAAACGGGACTTGATGTGATTTGGACATTGTGTGAATACCATATTATAGTATATACTTAGCAAAGCTGTATAGGACCATGGACGTCCTGTACTGCGGTCAGACACTGCCCAAATGGCTGTTATGTGGAGCATGACTGTACTTCAGAAAGTGAATCTCCCTCCATCCCATCTCAGCCCTCCTACAGGCAAAAAAACTACATACCCCATATTTTTAAAAAACGCCAGTGTTTGCTTACTACACCCAATGGTCTGCACCTCGCTTTTTTTAATAGTGGATTTCATCTTACAGCAGCGCTCCTGTTTTCACAGTTGCATCGGTTTCCTTCATATGAATGCATAATTTATTTAATCAGCCCCTAATGGTGGACATTTCCGTTGTTTCTGGTATTGCCATTAGAAGCAACGTGACAATGAAGATCTTCGCGTATCTGTGGACATGTATGGGCATTTCTGTGGGATGAATTCCTAGAAATGAAAGTTTACGATCAAAGGGATATGCATTTTATGTTTTGATAGGTTCTGCCAAATTGCTCTTCAAAAAAGGCTGCATCACTCACACACCCCACAACAAGGTTTGCGAGCCACTTTGCCCACACTCCCCCAGGACCAGCTTTCTAAGATGATAACTCTTTCCCAACACTTCCACCTTCTGTCCATATTGGGAAATGCAGCCTTACTATACCCAGCCCAGGACTGCTTCCAGAAGGGCAAGGGCCCTTCTCTGCATCTACCCAGACTCCCCTGGGGCATCTATATGCGGGAATGGACACTAGCGAAACCCACCCTTTCTTGAAGAAGCAATCGGTGCTGGGATGTTTACTGAGAGCCTACTATGTGCCAGGTGTTTCACACACAGGATTTTGCAATCAGACACCATGTTTCCATTTTGCTGGCTCTGCCACCTACCAGCCATGTGTCTATGATAAGTGACTTTAACTTTCTGAGCCTCAGTTTCCTCATCTGCAAAATGCGGATAACAATAGCAATCTTCCAGCATTGATGGCAGGATTCAGGAAGATAATGAGTCACCTCTAAAAAGACGATTTGTCGTTGTTAGCTGCCGTTTTGTCGTGACCCCATGCACAACAGAACAAAATGATGCCCTGTCCTGCGCCATCCCCATGACTCGCTGTAGATCAGACCGCTGTGATTCATAGGGTTTTCACGGAATGATTTTCAAAAGGTCTTTCCTCCTAGTCCATCTTAGTCTGGAAGCTCCACAGAAACCTGTTCAGCATCGTAGCAACAGGCAAGCGTCCAGTGACATATGGCAGCTACGCATGAGGTGCACTGGCTGGGAATTGAACCCAGGTCTCCCACGTGAAGGTGACGATTCTACTGCTGAACCAATGCCCACAAAAAGATGATTAAAAAAAACCAGAAACCCGTTGCTGTCAAGTTGATTCTGACCCACAGCGACTCTGTAGGACAGTAGGGTTTCCAAGGAGCGGCTGGTGGATCTGAACTGCTGACCTTCCAGTTAGCAGCTGACTTCTTAACCACTGCGCCACCAGGGCTCCAAAAAGACAATAAGGGACATGAAGAGGCAATTCACAGACAGGCAATGAACACGCCAGGCGAAGCACATAAGATGTCTCATCACAGTAGTCAGGGAACTGCCATAAGGCCAGAGGCCTTTTTCTTTGCCCATCAGATTGGCCAAGATTGTAAAGACTGATAACTCCATGTGGACAATGTTGTGGGGAAATGCAGATTAAACAATGAGGTTCCCGCCTCTGCCCATCAGATTGGCAAACAAGTGGGAAGACTGATAACATCTGGTGGAAAAGAGCAGCCTCATTCCCTTTCAGGGCACTGGTCAGGAATCGAACCCAGGTCTCCTGCATGGAAAGCAAGAATCCTACCACTAAACCACCACTGCCCCCATGTAAATTATACCTTTCCTCCCCCTCAGTAAAAAAAAGAAAGGAAAAACCTTAAAAATAGAAAATAATAAAAACAATACATGTGTGCGCACGCACACGCACACACGTGACTGTAATTGTTTTCGCGAAAGCTCTGCCAGAACGTAGTCCAAGCTGCTCCTTGTGGTTACCTCTGTGGAAAGCAGTGGTGAACTGGGGGTGGGGATAGAGTGGAGAAGAAGAATTTTATTATTGTCTTTACATTATTTTATATGGCTTAATTTTTTATAATGAGCACAAACTACTTGTAAAAACTTTTAAAAACAGCTAAAATATTAAAACAAGAAAAGGAACACACACACGTACACACACACAAGATTCCCAGGCCCCATGGCAGATACTCTGAATCAGAATTTCCAAGCCCTCCCTCTCTGGCACTGTGCTCATGCATGCCTCCAGCGACGGGGATCTTACTGTCTCCCAGGGTATTAGACTGTCCTTCCTTCTATGTTACCTCTGATCCTTCACCTTGAGCTTGCATCCCCCTTCTAGGTGTTTGCATCACCCTGCCGCCCACCAGGGCCCCCACGATGCTCACCCACTGACAGGGAGCCACGTGCCAGTTTGGGGAGCAGCAGGTCGAGCTGGCGGAAGGTGTGGAAGACGTCAGCCGAGTGGAGGCGGTCTTGGGCCTGGCTCTGATGGGTGCGTGGCAGCGCCTCAACTCCATACAGGGTCAGGTAGCCGGCTCTGAGGGTAGCAAGCAGGTGGGTGGGTGGACACTCCCAGTCAAGCCCTCCCCTGGCAGCTTACAAACTTTTCTTCATTCCTCACATTTAATGAGCACCTACTGTATGCCAAAGGAGCCCTGGTGGCGGTTCGAATCCACCAGCTGCTCTGCAGGACAAAGATGCCACAATCTGCTTCTGTAAAGATTTACAGCCTTGGAAACTCTATGGAGCAGTTCTACTCTGTCCTACAGGGTCGCTATGAGTCAAAATTGACTCAGTGGCAACAGGTTTACTGTATGCCAGGCACTGTTCTGGGCATGCGGGAGACAGCAGTGAATAAAACAGACAAAACCCCGGCCCTCATGGAGCTTACACTCCAGTGCCAGGAGACAGACAGTAGACTAGAGAAGTGAGTACAGTGTGTATTACGTCAGACAGTGCTCAGCAGTGTGGTCAGACATAACACTGGGAAGCAGATGGGGTGGGTGGGGGTGCAACGTCAGATACGTGGCAGGGGAAGGGCTCATACTGAAGTGGAAAACTGAAGGATGAGGAGCAAGCCTGGGAAGAGCAGAGGGAGGGTGCAAGGCAGAAGGAAGAGCCCGTGCAAACACTCTGAGGCAGGAAGAGATAGACAAGTAGATAGAGGCAGAGGGCCCAGCCCTTGCAAAGGCCTGGAGCCTGTCAGAGAGCCGCCAGGGGTCGTCCACCAGGGGGCAGAGCTGGCCTGTGCCAGGAGAGGAGTGGGAGGGTCTGGGAGTTGTCAGGGTCGGTCACGCAGGGCAGGGCAGGGCAGGGAGGGTGGCTGCCACAATGAGAAGGTTGGGCTTGACCTGAGGGAGGTGGGGGCCCTGGGAGGTCTGAGCAGGAGGGACAGGCCTGGCCAGGTGTAGAGAAGGGAGAAGACACGGAGCTCGTGTGCACCTTCGGTCATACACACACACAGGGACAGATTATCCAATAGGCAAGGTAAGCATGATGCTTATTTTGCTTACCAGGTCACCTGTAGTGAAGAATTCCACATTTTTTCACCACATCAAAGACACTGCTTCTAGGTACGGCTGGCATCTGTCTCTCTCCCAACCCCACAGCACCTACCTACAGAATCAAAGTCTCTTTTCAAATTTACAATCCCTGACAGAGGTGGATAACCCAGTAAGAAAGGTAAGCATGGGCTTCCTTGTGCTTACTTACTAATTGGTAGTGCACAATTTCACATGGGTTTCACCACATCTTTGATCAAATTGTTTACTACAGGTGATCTGGTAAGAAAGGTAAGCACCGTGCTTACCTTGCCTATTGGATAATCTGCCCCTGCTCACAAATACATGCTCACCCTCAGACACACACTCACCCCACACACACACACACCGCCCCCCCGCCCCCAAGTACACCCTCAGAAGAAACATTTCCACCCCCAGCCTCTTTCTCAGGCTCTAGGAGTTCAGCCCCTGCCTGGCCCCACTGGCCTCAGTCCCAGGAGGAAAAACACAAGTCTTCACTTTTTCCATGCAGGGCAGGGTGGGGCCTGGGGCCTCTGCAGAGAGGCCACTGAAGCCCCCACAACACTCCTCCTCCACCTGAGCTCCTCCTAGTCCCTGGATCTCCCAGGAGGGGGTTTTCCCACAACAGGAGAGGATGCGAGCAGGAATGAGGAGGGTGGGGGACGGAGAGGCCTGTCTGGTCCCCGTCTGGCCCCCACTGTCTCCCTGCACCTGCACAGTGCAGGCACATAGTAAGGTCCTCAATAAATAGTCAATGGATGGATGGATGAACAGTTAGAACTTGGTCCTAAGAATACTTATCTTGGGGGGAAATTATGGGGTCAACATGATTCCTTCCTTCCCCCTGAATCCCATTCACTTCCCTATCAACCAGACTTGGCTTCTATACCCCCAGAGACAGAGAGCTCACCACCTGCCCATCACACTAAGAGAAGGCAATCCTTCCTCAGAACAGCAGAACCCTTCCAGAGTCTAACCTGCTGGCCTGATGTAAGCCTCTGCATCAGCCCAGAAGGAATTCTCTCTCTCTACCAAGGCCCTCACTTTCCTTATGGCAGAAGTTGTAAAGCGGCAGCCCATAAACTGGATTCAGTCTCTGAACCCGTTTTGTTTGGCCAGCAGAGTTTTCCTAAAAACCAACTGAACTTTAATACTTGGGCAAATTCATACAAAAATCTGGATTTCCTGCTCATCTTATCTTGAGGAAGGAGAGGGTCTGGTCTGAGTCATGGCCTGCCCCCATTTCAGACGGGCAGGAGCCGGCCAGTCCCTGGGGTGGACGTGATACTACAGTTAAACATGTCCCTATCTATCATGGCACTTGCATTGCTGTTTCTCCTGAAGCAGAGAAACTTCATCCTGTACAAATATTTCTACCAAAAATAGGCAATGAAAATAAACCAAGAAGACCACGAGGTTTCACACTGTGGACATGAAGACCCTTCCTACAACATGTCCATATCAAAATAATATGACCGAAACCAAAACGAAACAAAATCCACTGCCTTTGAGTCAATTCTGACTCATAGCGACCCTATAGGACAGAGTAGAACTACCCCGTAGGGCTTCCACCGAGCGGCTGCTGGATTTGAACTGCTGACCTCTTGGTTAGCAGCTGAGCTCTTAACCACTGTGCCACCAGGGCTATAAATAACTGTTGTTGATGCCACCAGATGGTGGTGGTGGTGGTGGTGTGCCATCGAGTTGACTCCTAGTCATAGTGACCCTATAGGACAGTGTAGAACTGACCACAGAGTGTCCAAGTTTGTAAATCTTTATGGGAGCAAATCCCCAGGTCCTTCTCCGGTGGAACTGCTGGTGGGTTGGAACCACCAACTTCTCATTTAGCAGCTGAGCTCTTAACCATTGTGATACAGGGATTCCTCCTTGCTAAATAACTACATGTGTAAACACACATGCAACCTATAGGTGGCGCTAAGTGCTATAAACAAAAAACTGGGGCGGTGGGTAACGGGAGAGGGCTGTCTATGGAATGGGGTGTCAGGAAGGGCCTCTCTGAGGAGTGACACTTGAGATGAGACTTGGCTGGACTGACGTAGGAGCCAAGCAGACATCTGGGGAAACAGCCTCTCCAGACGAGGGGGCAGTGACTGCAAAGGCGGGAAGATGCCTGGTGGGTTCAGGGAGCAGCAGGAGGTCGGTGTGAAGGGAGGGGACAGAGTGGGGACCTCGAGAGAGGATGGGGCAGAAAGTGTTGGCCAGTCCTGCAGGGTCCCATGGGCCAGGGCTGGAGCTCTGGATGTGGCTCTGAGCGAGGCAAGGGCAACACAGAATAGGTTGGAAGGTGTCAGCGGGGTACCTCATGGTTTGAGGCCGTATGAACCTGCACCTCCATATCTATGTCCCTGGCATCCACCGTGCCACCCTAAGCCCTTCTCTTCCTTTTTCAGGGGCTGCAGATGGTGATGAAAAGACCGAGAGCCGCCAAGCCAGGAAACAAGAGCTCCAGCCCAGGCCTCAGGCCCTGAAGACACAGGTGCTGATTTACAGGTTCTGGTATGCATCTGACTTCTTGAGACTGTGCCAGCTGTTACCATGGGGCCTAAACAGACCCACAGGCCACCGCCTTGCCCCACCTCCCCAAGTCCCACTCCTCCCTCTCTGACTCCTTTGCCTGCACAAAGACATGGGGTGGCAGGAGCCAGGGGCCCTTGGTAGGTGGCTTTAGCTGGCCCTATCTGGACCTCAGTTTCCCCATCTGTACAATGACAGGGCAAGCCAGCCTAGCATTCCAGACCAAATGCAGCCCTGATGGAGTCTGCCCCACTCCGTGTGGAAGAATGTGGCTGCTTACATGTAGAGGGTCGTGGTTGGGAGCCCAGGCCCTGGGGCCTGTCTGGCCATGACCCAACTGTGGGACTCTGGGCAAATGACTGAGGCTCTCCAAGCCTCAGTTTTCTCATCTGTCAAATGGGACTTGGAAAGTACCGGCCTCACAGAGCTGTTGTGAGGATTAAATGAGTGAGCCCACATGGAGGATACATGTATGCACACACACGTGTCATATATGAGCCCATGTGCTCGTATGTATCAGTGAATGGCTGTGCTTTATTCCGAAACTATATTGCTCTAAGTTTTTGGAGGAGTTGAAATGTTCTTTTTTTTTTGAAATGATGGTCAGTTAAAGGTACTACCAAAACCCAAGGAACTGTCCTCAACATGCCTCACTGACCACTCTTTCCCTCACTGCCCACCCCCTCCAACCCCAATCAAATCTTTGAGCCGGTCCCCTCAGCTCCGTAAATTACCCAAATTCTCACCATCTTCCCTGCCACTTCCCTGGTCCAGGCCATCCTTTACTCTTACTTGGACGACGACAACGGCCTCCCTCTCATCTCCACATCCTCCACCTACAGACTATTCTCCACCGAGCGGCCAGGGGGAGCTTTTCAATGTCTAAGTTGGATCGTGTCAGGCCTCCTCTTAAACCCCCAATAATGCCCCATCTTGTTGGCAGGTGGCACTGAGTCGGCTCCAACTCACAGCGACCTCATGTGTAACAAAACAATTGCCTTCCAACCTGAGGGGCTCATCTACCAGCACTATATCAGACAATGTTCTGTGAAGCATAAGGTTTTCATTGGCTAATTTTCAGAAGCAGATCACCAGGCCTTTCTTCCTAGTCTGTCTTTGTCTGGAAGCACCTCTGAAACCTGTCCACCATGAGTGACCCTGCTGGTATTTGAAATACCGGTGGCATAGCTTCCAGCATCATAGCAACACGCAAGCCACCACAGTATGACAAACTGACAGACGCTTCCATGGCCTTGAGACTCTGCAAGACTTGGTTCCCATCAACTCTGACCTCATCTCCACCCTCCACCCTCAGCTCCCTGCCACCTCTGGGCCTTTGCACTTGCTGTTCCCTCTACCCGGAATCTCGGCGTGGTGGACAACTTGTAGTCAGGTCTCAGCTCTGAGGTCAGACCCTCAGGGAGGCCCTCACTGGTCAGCCTGGCTCCCGGAGCCCCCCACACTATCGCCCATCTGTTGATGTCCGTCATTGCATTTACCACTCTCTGACAAACCGTCTTTATTTATTGGATTACTGTCTGTTTCCCTCATTACAGTGCTGACTCTGAGCTTCACAACACCATCTGCCGTGTTCCCTGCTGTGTCCTCAGTGCCTGGAACAGTGGCTGGCGTTGCTGAAGAACGGCCAGTTGCATACCTTTTAATACACGTTTACAAGGTCTGATAAAACGTTATAGTGCTGGGTCTCCAAACATTTTGCTTTTCTGGACTGCAATATCCCAAAGTCTGGAAGCCACAAGAAGAGATGGTCTTTGAAGACTTGTCCTGCTACCCTCTCCCTGGGTGACCAGTGAGGCCCGACCCCTTTTGGGGTTCAGGTGAACACTTCGGGTCCCAGATGCACAATCTCTTTCTTGCAGCCTTTGTCTTAAGTGTCCCAAAGTGTTTCCCTACCCACAAAGTGCCCGGTTCACCTGGCCACCCCTCACGGCTGATGCAGGCCCAGATGCTGGTCTCCACCCAAGAGGGAGAGTGGAGGACCCTGTGGAGGACCCCAGGCTCACCTGAGCAGGAAGCCGTAGGAGAAATCGAGGAGCCCCATCTCGTGCCAGCCCCCGCCCGCCTCTGTGGCATCATCTAGCAGGACAGTGCGGAGGTTGGTATACATGGCTTCCGTGAGAGCCTGGAGGTCTCTGTGGAGGAGAGTCCTGGAGCAGGAAACAGAGGTGTAAGAGTCTGCCTCCCAAAGACACACAGGCACCTCCCTCCCCAAATCCTAGGGTCCCAGAGCCCAAGGTTCTCACTGGTAACAGGGACCTTTGGAAGACTGGCTCATACAGATGATATAGTGTTACTATTACCGTCAACAACGATAGTCACCATTTATTGTGCTAAGCACAATCATCTCATTTAATCTTCTGACAACCCTAGGAATACTAGTTACTATTACAACACCCATTTTACAGGACAGAGAAGAAAGTAATTTGCCCAAGGTCACACAGCCAGTAAGTGGTACAGGTGGGATTGAAACACTGCTTTGCCCAATTTTGGACTCTGGGTGCTTAACCATGATAGTCCGTCCCTCCCCTGGCACACAGAGCTTGCATGAGGAACCCACAGCCTTCTGGAAGAGAAAGAACTTAGAGCCCAACCCTTCCTTCCTGAGATCCAAAGTTAGAGATCTGTTTGAACGGTTAAGGTGTCCCCTGACCAATGACTGCTAATAAGACATGACCCCAAGTAAACTCTACATGAGAAAAAAGGGAATCTGGGCTAGTGACCTGCTCTCATCATATGTGCTTAAGAATTGAGGAGCAAACCAGTTCTGGAAGGTTTTGGAAGGTTCTGGAAGGACAAAGCCTGTACTGAGCCTCATTGATACAGATCAACATTGAGAGCCATGACCGTGCATAGGAGTAGACGCCAAGACAGATGGGATCTTATAAATAAGAGTAAGGCCCCTCTGCTTTCTGCGCAGGAATGAAGACCAGAAAGGACATGAACAAGAGTGTCCGTGGGGCAGTGCAAAGCCAATGTTCAACAGTGACACCTTGTGGAAGCAACAAGAATAGTGCTAGTATACAGATCAGGTGGTCCAGTTCTGTCTCCACTTGCTGTTTGGACAGGATGGATCCCTTTAGACTGAGTAAGTCTCTGCGTTCTTGATTAATTCATGGGGGGAAAGCGTCCAGAGGGAGTCCATGAACTCCCAGGTAGTAAAGGCTTTTCAATGTTCAAGTTGGAACACTGTTGGAAAAGACACATGACTCATGTGAGACAATGCATGTAAGGGGCTTAGCACGGCACCTGGCACGTTGTCAGTGCTCAGTAAATGGGTGCTGACACAGCAATTGACCCTGACCCAGTGGTCCCCCAACCCCACTCCAAGCATCGCTCCTCAATGCAGACAGTGGCCCTCAACACATGTGGGAGCCATGCCCAGAAGACATCATGCCAGCTCGTAAGAAATTCTCGGAAACTCTTGGAGCAGACACTGGAGGAAACTGGGATTCTCTCTGGGTAGGTGGGGGCAGGATGCAGTGAACTGTGGATTGTTGTTGTCAGTGCAACCCCATGGGTACCCCAGGACACTTGGACTCAGAAATACTCCTAGCAGCTGTCCCACAAGGCCAAGGTCAGAGCTGGGCATCGCCTCCAATCAGTATTCACCCATAATGCTGGCCTTTCCTCAGCTTTAGCAATCCTGCAAAACACAGGTTTCTAGATGCCTTTCCTAACTCCAGCAGGTTGTTCTTCCTGGAGGCAGATTACTAAAGATTCCCATCATACTGTGTGAGCTCTTTAGGGGCAGACACAGGGTTTTATTTGCCTTACATCTCAGGCGGAGGGGGATGAGCTGAAGAGTTAACAGACCTGGATCCAAATCCAGGCTCTGCCACTTACTGGTGGTGGACTTTAAGTCACTTCACTTCTCTGAGCCTCAGTTTCCTTGTCTGTAAAATAAGGATGAAAACACCTACCTCTTATGGCTAATGTACAGATACAAAAGTGTGCCTATAAAACACCTGGCATATGGCAAGTATCTCCACATGGTGGCTGACATCATTCCATACCACCTACATCTAGAACAGTGACTGGCACATAGCAGGCCCTCAGATGTTTGCTAAATGAATGTAGAGGAAATCTGTCCTCTTGTTGATATAATTATTCCTTGTATTTCAGGAGCTGCACCACTTTCTAGCTGAGTGACCTAGAGCAAGTCACTTCTCTTCTCTGAGCCCCAGAGTCCTCATCTATAAAATGGGGCTATAAGTTACTTACCCTCCAGCATGTCGTGAAGGCTGATGAGATAATGCGTGGTGCCTGGCACAGAGCATGGATTCAAAAATATTAATCAACCCACTGATCCCACTTCATTTTACAGATAACGAAACAGAGGCTCGGAGAGGGGAAGGGATTTGTCCAAGGTCACAAAGCAAGAAACTGCAGACCTGGGATTTGAATCTAGGTCTGGCTGACCCAAACCTCGATCTGCTAAAACTGGCCTGCCTCCTAAAAGAGATCGGGATACTGGGTAAAGAATTCTTCTTCAGCCCAATTCTTTTGGGTTGTTTTGTTTTGTTTTTTCTCATCTGTCTTGTCTCCTGGCTCAAGCAAAACAAAATATCTTTAGTAGACACGTGCTTTGGAGCTAAGCACAACCCACACAGGACTTGGGCTACACAGGAAGAAGCAGGTCGCCCACCCTAGCCCACCAACAGGTGCCATCTTGAGCCACTCACGGTTTCATCCTGGCCTTTTCATCACTGGGGTTGTAATGCGGAAGCTGCACGTCAAAAATCCTCTCCATAAGGAAGACAGCATAGGCGTGGAAGTCCAGCTTGGTGCGAGATTCCCACACCACTGTGTCGTAGGAGTGTGGGTCCAGGAGGACAGTGACATACCTGCCCCCCACGAGCACCTGTGGGAAGTCAGCAGGGATGGAGTGAGGAGTATTACTATGGACAACAGCAGCTCTCAGTAGTCAAGGGCTTACTAGGTGCCAGTCACTGCCCCCACCGAACACTTAACAGACAAATCCCCTCACTGACCCCTCATGACAACCCTGAGAGGTAGGGACTATCATTCACCTAGTGATAGCTGAAAAAGTGAGGCTTAGAGAAGGAAGGCAATGTGCCCAAGATCACACAGCTGAGAGGTGGCAGAGCTAGGCTGTGAATTCAGGGCTTTTTTGAACAAAATGCTGTGCTCTTAACCATCTCACTCTAAAGCATCCTCCATGGTAATCTTGGTTGTTGCCATATCTCTAGCAATCAAGAAAGAGTCTGCCTAGAGAAGGCAGCAGATGAATATTGTGTGTATCACAGATGGATGGTTGGATGGATGGATGCATGCGTGGATGTATGGATGGATGCATGGATGGACAAAGTTGGGTAAATGTTAAAGGGTGACTGCTGGATGTGTATATGGATAGGTGGATAGAAGAATAAATGGATGGATTGAAGGATTGGTGAAGGGATGGATGGATGGATGCTACTGGATAAATTCTAGTGGATGGGTTGTAGATGGGTGGATAGAAAAATACATGGATAAATGGATGAATGGATGAATGGATGGATGGATGGACGGATGCAGTTGAGTAAATGCTAGTGGATGGATTGCTAGATGGGTGAATAAATGGATGGATAGATCAATGAATGGATATTAGATGAAATGATGGATGGATGGGTCTCTGGAGGTTAGCTGGAAAATAAATGTATGAATAAATATTGGGTACAAGGATGGCAGGATTCTAAGCAGATATTGGGTAAACAGATTGAATGATAGATGTTATATGCATGGATGGAAGTTGGAAGGATATATGTAAGATGGATAGATGGGTGGCAGTTGCTTGAATGGATGTTGGAAGGTTGAATGGATAGATGGAGGTATAAACAGATATATACTGAGTGGACAGATGAATGGATGAAGAGACATTGGACGCTGAATGCCTGGATAGCTGATTGTTGGGTGGATAATGGATGGATAGATTAGTAGATAAATGGAGGAATGGAAATTGGTAGAATTGAATATATGGATGAAGTTGGATGGATGTTGAGTACACGAATGAAAGAATATTTGGTAAATTTTGGGTAGAAGGATGGAGGAATGGATAATGGGTGAGTGGATGGATAGACAGATACTGGATAAATATATGGAAAGATGGATGACTGCAATGAAATATATGGATGAATGTTGGGGGGATGTTGGGCAGATATTGGGTATATAGGTGGAAGGACAGACATTAGATGGATGGATAGAAGGATGAATGGAAGGAAGAAAGGATAGATGCATGGATGGATGGATGGAGGTCAGTTGGATGGATGTAAAGCATTGAATAGATATTGAATGACTGCATAGCTTGATGTTGGAAAGATGCTAGAGGGATATTGAAGAGATGGATGTCAGATAAGCATTGGATTACAGTTGGAGAGACAGATAAACAGAAAGTTGGACGAACCATTGGATGGATGTTGGATGGGTAGGTCAGTGTATGGAAGGATGCTGAGGAAATCACTGCTCATCTCTTTCTCTCCCAAAAGGCATAAGAGGAACTTACTGTAAAGATGTCACCATGCTTCTCCTTCATCCTAGTGAGGAAGCTGGCAGCATCTTTTCCAAACTCCAAGGCATGGCCCAACCAGGGGATACTTCCCAGGTCCAAGGGAGGCTCTCCAGGTCGGCTGCAGAAACCACAGCCCTTATCACCATTTGATAATGCAGGGAAGGAGATAAAGAGTATAGGGCATGGGGTGTATTTTAAATGGAGCCACAAGTACATGCTAGCTCAGTCCAGGGAGTGCGAAAGCGGTGTGTGTGACATTCAAGATCAGAATCATCTGTGAGAGCACAGAGACTCCTGTGGGAATATAACGATATTTATAGCTCACTGTGGTAGGCAGAATTTGAAAACAACCACAACCTCCTAGTGGGGAATATATGGTGCCGTTAACTTTAAGAAAGAATGGTTACACTCAAGACTAAGGCCCTAAGACGCCCTTCTGACCCAGAACTGAAACTATTCCCAGAGACCACCTTCCAGCCAAACAACAGACAAGCCCATAAAATAAACAGTAACACCTGAGAAGAACGTGCTCCTTAGAACAATCAATTATGTGAGATCAAGAAGGCAATATTTGCCCAAAAGCGAAGATGAGAAGACAGGAACGGGTAGAAAATCAGGATGAAAGGAAACGGGGAACCCAGGACAGAAATGGGGTGAGTGCTGAGACATTGTGGGGAATGAAACCAAGGCCATGAAACACTTTATATACAAACTATGGAATGAGAATCTAATCTGCTCTGTAAGCTTTCACCTAACGCATAATTAAAAAAATAAACAAATTCAGAAACAAAAAGCTAAAAAAAAAGAAAAGAAACAAAGAATGATTATCCTCAGTGGGCCTGACCTAATCAGGGCCTAAGTGATGGGCCTTAAAAGGGACAGGGCTCTTCCAGGCAAAAGAGATTCAAAGCATGATAGGGATTCAACACAAGGGAGATTCTCTATTGCTGGCTTTGAAGACAGAGGGGCCACGTGGCAAGGAATGTGCCAGCCTCTAGGATATGAAAGCAGACCTCGGTTGACAGCAAGCAAGGAAAAAGGAACCTCTGTCCTACAATGCAAGGAACTCAATTCATCCAGATTCTTCCCAGAGCCTCCCGATACGAAGGCAGCCTGGCCGGCACCTTGATTTCAGCCTTGTAAGACTCTGAACAGACTAGGAAGAAAGGCCTATGGGTCACAGCAGTCCAATCTTGTCGTGCATGGGGTTGCCATGAGTAAGGAGTCGACTTGATGGTAGCTGTCTTAGTTATCTAGTGTTGCTATGACAGAAATACCACACGTGGGTGGATTTAACGAACAGAAATTTATTCTCTCACAGTCTAGGAGGCTAGAAGTCCAAATTCAGGGCACCAGCTCCCAGGGAAGGGTTTCTCTCTGTCGGTTCTAGGGGAAGGTCCTTGTCATCAATCTTCCCTTGGTCTAAGAGCTTCTCAGCCCAGGGACCCCTGGGTCCAAAGGACAAGCTCAGCTCCCAGGACTTCTTTCTTAGTAGTATGAGATCCCTCTCCTCTCTGCTTGATTCTTTTATATCTCAAAAGAGTTTGACTCAAGATACAACCTAATCTTGTAGATTGTGTCTTGCCTCATTAACATCACTGCCTCTAATCCTGCCTCATTAACATCATAGAGTTTAGGATTTACAACACATAGAATAATCACATCAGATCACAAAATGGTGGACAACCACACAATACTGGGAATCATGGCCTAGCCAAGTTAACACACATTTTTGGGGAGCACAATTCAATCCATTACATTCCACTCTTTGGCCACCCAAAATTCATGTCCTTGCTGCATGTAAAACATATTCACCCCATCATATCGTAGCAAAAGTCTTAATTTAACTCCAAGTCCAAAATCTCCTGGGGCAAAATTCCTCTTCATCTATGCAATCTAGAATACAAGTTATCTGCTTCCGAAGTACAATGGTGGGACAGGCACAAACTAAACATTTCCGTCACAAACGGGAGAAACTGGAGGAAAAGACAGGGTAACAGGCACCAAACAAGTCAGCAAAATACATTACATTAGCTCTCAAGGCTTGAAAATAATCCTTTGTTCTCTGAGACAATTTAGGCAACAGCCCCACCCTCCAGACTCTAGGTGTTGGCCACACTCTCCGGATTCTGGGCGGAGTCCCTTGGCCCTGGGCATCAGCTCCGCCTTCCAGGCCCATTGGAACAGCAAGTCTGCTCCCTCGCATTTGGGCGGCCCCATTTTTCTAGTCCATCTGAGTGGCGAGTCCATCCCCTTAAGCCTGGCAGGCGCAGTTCTGCTTTGGGCAGCAGATCCGGCCCCATCCCGCTGGCACTCGTGAAAGGCAGCCCCACACTCCAGAAGAGAGTTGGTGAAGACCTGACTCTTTGAAATCTAGGAGGCTGTGGCCTCACCCTTTGAAACCCCAGAGGCCATGGCTCCACCCTTTGAGACCCCAGAGGTCTGGGCCCTACGCTTTGAGACAAAGGCAGCTCTACTTCCTGTGTTTCTTGTCTCTTCAGCTTCTGCTTCCTGGTTCCCTGGCCTCTTGGCCCATTGGGTCCTTGGGCCAGCTAGGCATCTGCCCTGCTTAGGCAAGTGTTCCAAAGCTCTTTAGCTCTACTGATAAGTGCCTGGCGGCCCCCTACTCCGACAGTAAACCTTGGCCAGAAGGCACTCAGCTCTCTTGCTCCATGGGTCAGCAAGTCTAGCTCCACCAGTAAGTGCCCAGAGGCAGCCCACTCGACTAGGAAGCCTCCTGAGCAAAGGCACTCAGTTCTCTGGCTCCACGGGTCAGCTCCCACACCATCTGACACCAGTCTCCTTGTTTCTGCTGCTGCTGTTTCCTGTTTCTGCTTCCCGTCATCTGCGCCGTCTCTGGTGTTACAGCTCTCCTCACTTCCTTCTGAGCCCTCACCAGAATTTAATTCCACCAAAAGTCTCTTCAAGGCAATCTAGGCTTCCACCATTAGGCATGTTAAAACTCTTCCAGCCTCCATCCATTCACAGTTTCAAAACCGTTTCCACATTTTAGGTATCCGGTAAAGCAACACCCCACTGCCAGTATCAAATTCTGTCTTGGATATCAAGCACTGCTATAACAGAAATACCACACGTGGGTGGATTTAACAAACATAAATTTATTATCTCACAGCCTAGGAGGCTAGAAGTCCAAATTCAGGGCACCAGCTCCTGGGGAAGGGTTTCTCTCTGTCGATTCTAGGGGAAGGTCCTTGTCATCAATCTTCCCCTGGTCTAAGAACGTCTCAGCCCAGGGACCCCTGGGTCCAAAGGACAAGCTCAGCTCCCAGGACTTCTTTCTTGGTGGTATGAGGTCCCTCTCCTCCCTGCTTGATTCTCTCTTTTATATCTCAAAAGAGACTGATTCAAGATACAACCTAATTCTATAGATTGAGTCCTGCCTCATTAACATAAATGCTTCTAATCCTGCCTCATTAACATCATAAAGGTTAGGATTTATAACACATAGGGTAATCACATCAGATCACAAAATGGTGGACAACCACACAATACTGGAAATTATGCCTTAGCCAAGTTGACACACATTTTTGGGGAACACAATTCAGTATTCTTCACCAACACCGTAATTCAAAGGCATGAATTCTAGGGTCTTCCTTATTCACTGTCCAGGTTTCACATGCGTATGAGGTGATTGAAATTATCATGGCTTGGGTCAGGCATACCTTGTCCTCAGAGTGACATCTTTGCTTTTCAACACTTTAAAGAGGTCTTTCGCATCAGATTTGCCCAATGCAATATGTTGCTTGACTTCTTGACTGCTGCTTCCATGGGCTTTGATTATGGATCCAAGTAAAACAAAATCCTTAACAACTTCAATATCTTCTCCGTTTATCATGATGTTGCTTATTGGTCCAGTTGTGAGGATTTTTGTTTTCTTTATGTTGAAGTGTAATCCATACTGAAGGATGTGGTCTTTGATCTTCATCCGTAAGCGCTTCAAGTCCTCTTCACTTTCACCAAGCAAGGTTGTGTCATCTGCATGTCACAGGTTGTTAATTAGTCTTGCTCCAATCTTGATGCCCTGTTCTTCTTCATACTGTCCAGCTTCTCATATTACTTGTTCAGCATACAGATTGAATAAGTATGGTGAAAGGATACAACCCTGATGCACACCTTTCCTGATATTAAACCACAGAGTATCCTCATGTTCTGTTTGAACTACTGCCTCTTCATCTATGTACAGGTTCCACATGAGCACAATTAAGTGTTTTGGAATTCCCATTCTTCTCAATAATTTGTTATGATCCACACAGTTGAATGCCTTTGTGTAGTTAATAAAACACAGGTAAACATCTTTCTGGTATTCGCTGCTTTCAGCGGCACGACCTCACTCTTGGAGCACAAAGGGTGGACAGAGGCAGAGGTGGCAGGCGCTAGCGGGCGGGGTCTGTGACGGAGGAATGAGCAGTTGTTGGAGGGAATCCACGGGAACTAAAGCTCAAGGGAGATTGAGAAAAGGCATCTGAACCAGGATGGGCAGGCAGTGGTTGGCTGCGTGGGCAGGAGCTGGAAGGTCAGGGCCTATGTTCCCCCACAAGGCCTGGCAGTGCTTCAAAAAAGTGAGCATGAGAGTAGCAGTGGGCAAGGCTGGAGACCGCAGGCCCCGCAATAGAGCCTCCTTCGCCCCCGCTGGCTGGCTGTTGAGTCACCCTGGAATGGGGCTTGGACCGGAGGACTCTGCCAGGCGGGCCACATCAGGCGCTTGGGCTCCCAGCTTCCTGCCTTTGTCTGCGCCTCCTCAGGACTTTTCTGGGGAACGAAGAGAGCTGCCAGAAATAACACCCGGCTCACTGGGGAGCTCTGGCGGCAGTGGGATAAAGGGCAGGGAAAGGAAGCGCCTCCTCCCTCCGCCAAAGGTGTTTTAGGAGAAAACCTCAGGCCCTGAAATGCAGCAGGTCGCTGAAACCTCTCTGGGCCTCAGTTTCCTCATTTGCAAAGTGGGGATGCAGATGTCCACTTGGGGGCAGCATCGTGTCAAGTGTGTTCTCTGCAGCCAGGCCAGCCTGGGCTAGAAACTACTTCTCCCCATATGCCCTCAGGCAAGTGACTTAGCCTGTCTGTGCCCCAGTTTCCTCCTCCATAAACTGGGCCTCAGCA